CACTTTCTAGACACCATGGGGCACCATGCTCAGACACGCTCTTCAGTGAAAAGGGCTCTGAGACTCCTCGGCGAGTTCAGCATCCTCTAACCAGAGGTCCTGTATCCTGTGCTTCCTCAGGAGGACCAACCCCACACATGTTGACTATTCTGGACTATCCCAATGGCTCCCAGCCCTGCATCCTGCATCGTAATAACTACTTTACCACTATTTGTCCCCTTGTGTACATGAGGGTCCTTCACGGACCAAAGAAGCAATGCTCATCTTCCTTCTTAGGATCTCACATAGAATACAGAGGGTAACAGAATGTGGCTGACTGAAGACGTACAGGCTGGGGCAGGTCTCAGAAGGGTAAAAGGAAGAAAGGGGAGGTAAGACCAGAATGCTTAATGGTGTTCTGCCTTGATTCTTGAGCCACAGCCCAAGGCAGAAAATCCAACCTTTGAATCTATAATCAATCCTCGGCTGAAAATTTACTTGAACTCTTACCAAGTGGACCACTTACTCTTCTTTTTCAAGGGGCTCCATAACACAGGGTGGGGTGGCATCTCCTCTTCTGCACCCAGTCTTAAGATGTGAGCCAAATGAGAAAGAAAAGGCACCGACCCCCCCCCATTTACAAAGCAGCTGCCACCAAAGCAAAATGGATTCCTTTTCCTCCCCTCCAAACTAAACAGTAGTTTGTCAAATGGATGAATAAGGAGAAAAGTGACAATTTTCCTTTATGTTAATAAATTGCCTTGGCCTAAAAAACATTAATCAATTTCTTGCCAAAGCATACACACTTCTCTATACTCTGCTATTTGCCTGGCCTTGAAAAGAAAGTCACTTTCAATCCCCTTTAAACTGTCAAGACCAGTGGGGGCAGTTGCAGGAGGGGGGAGGGGAGCTCCCTGACTCCCAGTGATTATAATGGGGCCCTGCTGTGTTTCCATAGAAACAGAAAGAGTGTATTCTTCCCTCAAAGTACACAAAAGGGAGGGTGAGGAACATTGCTATGGGCAAGGTGTACAATTACTGAAGAACTAAAGGCTTAAGTGTGGAGGTTCTGAAGATACGAAGATAAAGGACATAGGGAAGAGGACTGGAGTGGGCAGAGACTGTGTCCCTTACAGGGACAGTACCAATTATCATGTCCCACAGCTGCCCAGCAAGGTAGCTATTATAATCTCCACATTCAACTGAGTTAGAGGGAACCAAGAAAGTTGCCCAAAGTCACCTCACGAGTAAAAGGGGCAGCTCTTATCCAAACCATAGGTGGTCAGCTCAAAAGCCCCACTCTGTCCTCTCTATTGGGACCTGCTTCCAGTTAGGACAATGAGATAGTTTATACATTCTGTCTCCTGCCTCCCCTCACCAGCCTTCCAGGTCTAGAATTATTTTTTTGAATAGGTCATGGGACATTTATAAATCTGATAAACTCAGGTGGTCTGTTGCCGCTTGTCTGTTTGTTTGCATTATAAAGCAAGAAATGTCACATACAGGGGGAGCAGCTGGTCGTGCAGGTGTGCATTCTTATAATCTAGAAGGAACATATGGATCAAGAACTAGAAAGCAGGAGTAGTTAAGAGAAACAAGCATATTTTGAAAGCAATTGTTAGCTTAATCACCTACCACCAGAAACACTAACACGGGAAGCAAGTTCCACAGGGACAGTGTTCAGATCTGCCTAGCTTCACTATCATATTAATAGAGCTGAACACAGGGGTGGGAGTGGATGGGTGGGATCTACCAGCAGGGAGAATTCTAGGGTGAGCAGGAGAGAGCTGTCCTCCTCAGCTCTACCTGATGCTTTGTGAGAAAGATGGTTTTTCTGTCACAGCAGGTAGGGCAGGGCTGTTTTGACAGCTATCTGTGAGCCATGCACGTCCCCAGTGCTACAAGTGGTGAGAATCAGAGTTCACAACTCATTGCTTTAAATTCCTTCCTCGGTGCAATGCAGAGGCTGTCTGGGATAAAGCCTCCTGGACCTCTGAATTCCTCTCCCGAACTAGCCATTAGGGAGAGTAAGTAAGGCATGAGTAGTGCGGATAGAAACCCACTCCACCCCTCAAGCCACGTCAGGGTACAGTCCCAGCTGGTGCTTCTGGAAGTGAGATTCAGTGTTCCAGTCTGTGGATACCCTGGTCTACTCACCTGGCAAACCCTTGGTTGTGACAGAAAGGTCTCTAATCATCACTGATATGGGTTAGCACTGACTGAAGACACAGAGCCACTGACTAGCATTGCCAACTGGGCAGGCAGAGTGTCAATCTCTCTACTGCCGCTTTCCCAGAATTAAGGACCAGGCCCAGGACATGTAAGATAGTCAGTGTTTGTCAAATGACTGAATCCTTGGGGTCTAGCTCTGCTGCATGCTACATATGCACATGTTGTTTAAATTTAGATGAGGTCCTGGGAGTAGGGATCACACTCATTCTGTAGATGACGACAAACAGTGCTGCACGCAAATGGGAAATGACTTCTCCAATATCTCACAGTTGATGAGGTAGGAAGATGTGCTTTAAAGAGCACAGCCCGTGTTCTATTCATTACATACATCACCTAATCAGGATTACATCCCCAGAGAGAGACAAGGAAGGGAAAGAAAAAGGATGAAAGGAGAAGAGGGGAAAATCTGGGTGATGCTTATCAAAAGTAGAGAAAGGAAACAATTAGACATCCTTCTTCAGTGCTCCTAAGAATTGATAATTCATCTTCCAGGCTACACAGTACGGCACTCTGCCCTTCTGTCTTCAGCCTGCCTCTTCTAACTCAGAATTCCCATTGGCAAGGCACCATTTGGAGCTTCATTAGTTACACGTTGCAATGGTGATTTATCTTTTCAGCAGCACTCACTATGATCCTGAGCTCTAGGAGGTGGCACAAAGATAGTAGTAGACAAGGGCAGGTGGCCCTCTAATGATGGCTGCTTTTTCACCCTTGCTGGGTACAAAGGCCTTTGCCAGCCCTGCCACATCACAAAGCGATGTGAGGTCTCTCGTCTTCCGTACCTAGCCTTTCATTTTTCTCCCAGCTAAACAAAGAGTGTGCACTGTTTTCATGACTCCACATTTCCTCCTTTTTCTGCTCTCCCATGCTGCTTCCTCATCCTTGGAACTTCTGAGAGTCCTGGGATGCAACCAGGTAACAAATACATCTAAAAGCTTAAGAGCCTCCCTACCAGCACCCACAACCGAAATCTCCTCCATGAGTCAATGTCCTAGGGAGGAAAGTGAACAATTAAGGACACAGGGAGCCCTGCACAGCCTGCAGGGCTGTCTAAGAGGATTTGTTTCCTCTGATCCTGCTCTTTGGGTTCTAGCAAGGCTAAGAGAGCTGATGAGACAGGGTGAAAGTTCCTGAGAGCTGCTTGTGTGATTCCCACAAACACAGAAGTCAGGGGTAGCATCAGCTCCCGCCCCTCCCAGGCTGGAGCTCTAATCCTGCTCCTAGTTCCCCAGGATTTCCTTATGTTGCTTCCTGAGACAAGGACCCCAGACCTCAAGGACCCCTCTGCATTTCTGCAAAGGCCCTGGGCTGCGCTTCATGTGTACTTCACACACCTTTGTGCTCATAGCACAATACAACAGAGTCTGGACATGCATGAGTCCAAAGTGCACAAATAAAAGAGCAAAAAAGGGAGGTGTTTGGAAATGTCCATCAGTAGAATATTTAAATCTATCTGTACCAAGGAGTAGCATGCGGTAGTTGTATTTGCAAGATATTTAAAAAGCAAGGCTCTCCTATGTCCTGAGTCCTCACTGAACTTGAAAGGCTAGGGCCAAAATGTTGGTTGTCCTTGCAGCCCTTCTTTTTCTCTAATTTTTGGTCTGAAAACTTGGGTTGTTAACCCTCCAGAATAGAAGCTTATTCTTATTACCCTACAACATAGACAGTGGAGCTTAACTTCACTATCTGTCTGAATATCAAACATCTTAGACATAACTTGGAACAGGTATTTTCTATCAAGTATTGATATGTTAAACTTTAAGTCCCTACATGGAAAAGGCTCAAGTCAACAACTTCTGACATTGCCAGCCCTACAGAAAACCCACTACTATTATGGACTACTGGACTATATTGGAATATTTTACTGAATTCACGAACATACAATATTTAAATGATAATGGAATATCCATCTCTGACAAAACTAAACAAAAAAGGGGATACAAATGAAGGACCATTTTGTATCTGTGTATTCAAAATAGGATAGATATACAGCTACTTTCTTTTAATTCAACGACTAGAAAGATTTATTCTAATAGTGTTTGTGGATAGGCTATCGTGTCTGCCTCTTGTACTATGAATAACCACTAAGAAGACAACAATATGCAATGTATTAATTATTGAAACTGTCCTACTAATTGTTTTGAAACTGTCTCATTGCTATTTCTCAATAAAATTATTTTTTTAAAAAAGAGCAAGGCATGGCTCATCAGTAGTGACAACAGTAACGATGACAAAATCAGTAGTAGGAATTAACACCTAGAGAAGACTTCCCACAGGCTAGACACTACTCCGCATACATAATTTGTATCAGCTCAACTTAAACACAATAATTCCAAAGAAAGCCTTTGAGATAGGTGCAACGATTACTTTCATTTTATAGATGAAGAAACTAAGCTCAGTTTTACTATATTATTACTATTATGTCATTTAAATATTTTATAAGGTACTTTTCATGAAAAATGTCCAAAAATAAAACTAACAATGAGAAGCATTAAATAAATGCAAGAGAGAGAGACAGGACCAATATTTATTGAACACCTGCCATCAGGCTACCACGTTACATGCCTTAGTTATACTTAGTAAATTCCCTGCAAGGGAGAATTGTGGGTGCCAATCTAACTGATAGAGACTGGAGGTTCAGAGAGATGGTCTAACTCTTCATGGGCGCATAGCCACTAGGTCACTCAGGACTCGGAAGCCTGCTCTTCCATGCTAACTGGACACCTGGGGATGCTGAGTCCCTGTGTGCTGATTTGAGTGTTACCTCCCTTCCTTGTTCTGTTTTTCAGTGTAGAGTATGACTTTCGACAGCAGGAAGGCAGGTTCCATGAAGTCCTGCAGAGCCTGGAGGAAGTGGAACCAGTTGAGGAGGCACCTTCCCCACCAAAGTCCCCAGCAGAACCCCCGGTCCCTGAGAAGCAAGACTTGCGGCGGAAAACCAAGAAAGTGAAGAAAAAGTGCTTTTGGTGGATCTGAGCTCTTTAGGGCCACCCCTCAGCCTCCACGTTCTGCTCTCTGTGGTGGGGACCCACTGCTCCCAAGGCCTACGCTGCTCCTTTGCAAAGGCCATGGCTGGGAGCCCTGGACCTGAAGAATAAGAGAATCTGGGCTAGTGCAGTACAGCTGGACACCTGAGTGCCAGCCTCACCTGAGTGTGTGCCCCCGCTTGCCAAGGACTTCATGGACATTGCGTGACCACTTGCTGAATTTCCGGTCACACGTGGCCAGGCTGGTCTATTAACTCCAAGTTCCCCATAAGCAAATTTCCACTTCACTCTCCAGTACCTCTTCAAAGCTAAGCATTTCCTACTCATCCAAGGTCCATCTGCCCAAAGGAAAAAAGAAGTAATTCCATGTTGTGCAGAGCAGACAGACAGAGGGGTGATGAGCAGATACCTCTCCCCAATTAGATAAATAACCCTGCAGTTCCCTAAGATGTTGGCACACATAAGCATAGCAGAAGTGGGCAGGGCATAAACAGCAAAAGCACTCTGGTGTTTTGGGGTCATTTTCATTTCTCATGAGCTCTCGATTCCAAATCAAGGCCTGTCTTCTCATGCCACTGTAAGGTCATCTGAGGATATACAGACTTGGTATGACCATCTTGCGTGGCTAGAATTCAGAGAGGGTTTCACAGTAGTAACCCTTCCAGGGCCACCTAACAGCATCTGTCTCTTCCTGGGGCCCAAGCGTGTCTAGAAGAGGAGTGGGCAAATCTGGTTGGCGTTTAAATTTTATTTCATAGTTAATATATCTGCAACACTGAAGATCATGAGATTCTACAGCCTGTCAGTGTATCTTTTCAATGACTTACATAAGGCTGAGAAAAACCGCAACACTCCTTTACTATCCACTCACCCCTGTGCCACTGCTATAGGTAGGTCCAGACATACACGAATCTATCCAGGGTCCCTCCCCTGTGACAACAGACATCCTACTGAAGAAGCAGCAGGACTGGGGATGAGGCATAGCCTTTGCCATTTTCATATTAAAGACCTTTTTTCTCCCCGAAGTCTGAGTTCTTTAAGGAGTGTTTCACTCTTTCAAAAAGATCACCCTAGGCAGGGTCCCAGTCACACCTGCATGACTGAATAAACTTCCAAAAGTAAATAATTAAGTAATTGCTACATGTGCTTCAGACACAAGGATAGGGTAGAAAGGCTTGGATTTCTTTGCATTAAATTAAATTCTCTGCCAGCACCTAGTTGGACTGATGCTGCCAGAAAGCGATCCTAGAGCTAACCATACCTTAAATTAAGAATGAATTTTATAACCCCCTGTGCGGAAGCCCTGGAGCCTTGGGGAATGTCTCTGCAGAGCCGAGCACCCCATGCATACACGGGACATGCACAGCCCATTGCAAACTGGGATCTATCAAGCAAACCACCCAAGAGTTTCGCTTTTTCCTGTTTCAGCGCTGCAGCACACAAAGCTATTTGAGGGAGAGTGAGAGGAAAGCTTGGCAAGGAATCTTGGCTTGCACTATTTAAGTTCTGGAATGTCATTCAAGATGTTCTTGTTCTGTTTCTAGTGTAATGTTTAAACCCACAAAATGAGACCAGAATACATAACATCAAGTTAGAATTAAGATAAATACACTTGTCATACTTAAGAAACCACATTTCAATAAGATATGCTACCACTGGCTAAAAGCCACAGATCTTTCTTTCTGTATCCATACAGCCAACTCTCAATTGGCCCCAGCAATGGAAAAGAACAGCACAGAGGCTAATCCAATAAAGCGAAATCACTCGGGATCTCTTATGTAATTGTATCTTGTAGACCTTCCATCTTAATTTGCTTTGCTTACACTAATTTTGAATGAATTTATATTCTTGGGTATAATGTTGGAATGAAAATAATCCTGCACCTAGAATTAAGAAACCGGGCACCAGAGCAATCCGTTTCACAAAGCTGGGGCATGCTGCTTAGGTTTTCATGCTGTTTGTTCATCTTGAATGAAGAGAGGAACAGCTGTGTTCTCTACCCACCTTGCAAGCTACGTGTACCTTCTAGCACCAGATGATCAGAATCACCCAGGGCTGAGCTGAAGCATTTGCCCTGGTTAGCAGGGAACGACGACCCAAGTTGGAGGTAGCAGAAGATTAAGACGCTTATGTAGTCACACACATATGTTGCACATGTGTGTGGGGGAAGGGGGGCTCACATAAATGCTTACCTGAATTAAATAAAATCGGGATTGGAAAATGTTGATATTTCTAGAAATCAAACAAACCACGGCTATAATGATTCTATACCAAAGCACAACACCACATTAATTGTACCACCTACCTGAGACTGGGAAGGTCCCTTTTGAAAATGAACATTTATAATCATTATGAGGAAGAAAGGATTTGATAAATATCTTCTTGCTGAACACAAAGGATTGTCTTTATTTTTAAGAATCCACACATACATGTACCAGAACTCCGCTCATCTGCTCATGAAAGCCACTGCTTCTTTGTAAAATATTATGTATCATCTATCACAATACTATATAGAAATACTATACTTGAGGTTATATGGTTTTATGGAGAGAGATTAATTTAGCAAAAATTACTTTTATATAATGGAAGGAGAAAAGACTGATATACCAACTTAAATGACAGAAGTTTATGTAGCTGCTTTCTCTGTAGTTAAAAATGTGTACTCACTATCCTTGGAACTTAATACCAGCTCATCTATAGAGCGCCTTCTTGAAGATGATGTACTAATATAAGGTTTTGTAAATTTCTAAACTATTTTAAATGGGATATTATCTTTTGCAATAAACTTACATATTTTTCCTAGACTCCATTATTAGCTTGGGTTGATTTGGGTTATAAAACTTAAACTCAGGAAAGACGTCTCAGGCAGAATGGCCTTCATTAAAATAGTTTTAACGCATATCTCAGGGATAGACAACAGACCGAGGCCTTGGTGCTACAGTGGCCTTGCAAAGCCCTAGGCATTCTGGGAGTGAAGGAGGCAGCAATCAATGTGACCACCTTGTTTAATTAACAGGGATACACATTCATGATTTTTATCATTCTGCCTATATGTCTGACTCTAATTTATTCAGTATTTTTCACCTCATTTGTCCTTAAAATGTACCTTTATACCACTGATATGAAGAAAACCAACATGATGTTCCAAAGATAGTACATAAAATGAAAGTAATTTTATTGAGTTAAAAAAATATTTACTTTTCTAAAGGTGCAGAGCTCTAAGTCTGTGACCAGCTTTCTTTGTGAGAAGTGATATTTGAAAATATTCAATGCTTACTAAAGTCACATTAACACTGAATCCATGTTCTACTTGACTAATCAGGATGTTTGGGAAAGAACTGAAGAGAAAAAAAACCTTTGCATCATATGAGTTGGGTGTTTTTCTGCCCCATCTATGAACCCTGACTTGTTTATATCTGGACTACGAGTCTTCCACTCAGAAGTATTAATTTAAGGGAAGTAAAAGCAACACAGATCCCTGAACGTGAAATCATAAGTCTTGGTCTTGATAGCCTTCTTCTGCCTTTGTGCTGAGTGACCTCAGACAACCTCTGGAGCCTCTGATTCCTCTTTATATAAACTATAACTCCAGCCTTACAGAGGTGTCCTGACAACTGAGAAAGAGCCTGAACAAAGGCACACAGCAAGTGCCCAACAAATACATAGCCCGGCATTCATTTGTGGCTGGAAGTAAATTAGGAAGGAGGAAGCAAGATGCTTCAGGAAGCTACAGTTGGTGTCAGACATAAATTTTTATTTTTTCAGGGTAAGGAAAAAACTCTCCTTGGCTTCAGTGAAACTGCCAGAAACCATGACAATGCATGTTAAAAAGCCAAGGAGCTGATGACTGTGAAGAACCTCCAGGCACATGAGAATGTAGCATACAGTAGCACTTCAAGGAAATATGGGTTCCTGTGGCATGGAATGTGAAGGAGACTGCAAGAGCTGGTTCAGTTTCACCTGGAGTAAGAGGCCCTCAGGAAGGTCTAGATGATCTGCTCCAGGCTTTGCATCAGCAGTGAGAGCTGGAAGCAAGGTAGTAGGTGGATGGAATGTATGAGGGACCCAGCCTTTGTAGAAAGGACTGAGCTAGATTTGAAAATTCATCCATTAACTGAGCAGAGTCCTCAACATACTCTCAATATACTCTCCACTTAATTTATCCTGCTAAAGACAACTTGTTTTATGCTAAAAATGATATTGCTTTTCTTTAAACATCAGAACCTAAGATGTTATGTGTTATGTGTCATTATGTTTATGGAGCAAGAAAAGGATTGGAGCCAGGCGTGGTAGCGCACGCCTGTAACCCCAACACTCTGGAGGTTGAGACTGGAGGATTGCTGTGAGTTTAAGTCCAGCCTGAACTACAGAGAAAGACT